AGAGTCTGTGTGTGTGTCTGTGTGTCATTATCTGCCTACTGGGTTGTAGAGGGGATTAAATGAATCAACACATCAATACACTGAGAATCCTACCCTGCAGAGCAAGTATTCAAAAGTCTGTCATCTGTAACTCATGCACTCCTTGAATCTCTGCCAGGTTCCAAGGGCCTGACCTCTTCATCACACGGGGTACTTCTTAATTAAATGAAGGTACGGGAGTTCAAGGCTGGGCACCCTAGAAATATTGGAACTCCGGGGCTGCGCTCCTGAAATATGCGCTTGTCCCGCCCAGCTCCCTGCCGCTGCGTGCTGATTAGAAGCCACTGCCCGCCTCCGAGCAAGCAAAGAGCCAGGCACACGTCCCTTTTATGAAAATCCAGCAAGCTGGTGTGAAGAGGAGATAACCAGCCCCTCCGCACTCTGAGGCTGAAGATACTTAATTATCCGAAACCCAGATAAACAGCAGGAGCAGGACGGTAGGCGGAGGCAGAGGAGCTGAGCCCGGCAACCAGAGGCTGCAGGAGACACTCAGAGCTAATGGTGTGAGCCGGCCCCGGTGAAGGGCAGGAAGAGGCGGGTGAGGGGGTTGGCAGCCCCCGGAGCCTCACCTGCAGAAGATCAGGAGGAGGAGGGACTGGAGAGAGGCCAGGAGGGAGAAGCAGCCCGGGGCACTGTCTCCAGACGGCTCAGGGGACCGAGGCGTTTATTGACTTGGTCTAGTGAAGTTCATAAGATTGCTCAGCCTCGGGAGAGGGATCTCAAAATGCCATTTTGCAAGTTGGAAACCCGAGGACAAGCTAGGGAAGGCAGTGAGGAGACGCGGTGGACATTCAGGGCGGAGAACACGCACCCGCTGGGGCTCACTCACAGCAGCCTGTCAATCTAAGCAGGGTCTGTGAACTTGACCTTGAGGGCCTGAGGCAGGGCCAGCGCGCAGCTGTCCCTCAGCACCTGACGGACGTGGTGACAATAGGCACAAAGGACTCGGAGTGCGCCTGGGCCCATGATAAGGGCTCACTCAGTGCCACCACTGGGGTCCTTGGGAATCCTTCCAGGAACGGGGCTCTGCAGACGGTTCCCAGCAGGTCACCTTACAGACCCTAAGACGGCGCTCGTCATTCTGGGCTCCAAAATCGATCCTTACGTCCAAGGAGCCAAAATGGGACCCAGTCCGTTTCCGAGGCCCTCAGCTCGAGATGATGAAGCAGGACAAGCCCTGCCGTGGGACGCTGGGCGTGCGTCCAGGGTCCACCCGCGCGCTCTAGAAGCTGGGCGGAGAGCACGGGGTCCCTGCACTGGGAATAAAGGCTTAGGGTTGAGGGCTCAGCCTCCAAAACAAACATCTTGGGTTCAACTGCTGGTTCTGCCTCGTTCCAGCTACTGATCTTGAGCAAGCCATTTCAGTCCCTCACCACGGCAGGGACAGACCCCATCAGGATTCCTGTGAGAACTCTGGAACTGCTAAAGCAAGTCAGCCAAGGCATGCAGTGCCCAGGGCCATCTGTGTGGCACAGCAGGGGCCCCAGCGAACAGCAGCTCCTGTGCTCTGCCCTGAACCCAAGGTCAAGCCCAAAGACATGAGGAGCCAGATGACTCCTGAGCTCCCTGGGAATGGCTAAATCCCCCTCTCCTGGTTCCTCAACGTGCTGGCAAGAGGGGAGGGAGAACGGGCAGAGGCTGCAGATCCAAAGGAAAAGGGCAGGACAGTGACCAAGCAGAAAGAGAGCCACCAGGCCCCAGGCCCAGCCGCATGCAGTGCGTAGCCTGCCTGGACATGCACCACCCAGGCCCTGGGGCAGGGAAGGAAGGCAGCAGCCCCCACCCGGCCTGTTCCTAGAAGGCCCAGAACCCGGCAGGGGCCTTGGAAGCAGAGGACATTCTCCGCGGTGGAACGTGGAACGTGGGCGCGCTCCCAGGCTCCGCGGGAGTTGACGGGTATTAACACGATCACGTGGTCCCTCCAGAGCAGGTGTGACCACACGGATCCCACTGTGGTTGTTATGACCACCGGGCATCTCCGCCAAGCGCTGTCACGTGCCTGCCATTTGAGCTACCCCCTCCCAGCCTGAGAATGCCGAACGGGGTCTGAGAGTCTGTCTCCCTCTCACTCTGTGCCAAGGATGGCCCCCGTGCAAGTCCGTGTACGTGCAGCGGGTGAATGGGGACAGTGACGATTGTGAAAGGGTCACTCACGGCCACCTGACAGACATCAGATGCTGGCGGGTGTCAGGCGCTGCTCAAGATGCTGGGAAGACACAACAGCGAGGGACGTTCCACGGTCCCTCCGTCTCTCCCTGCCCGTGTCCCTGCCTGCCTGCCTTCTTTCCTTCCTGCCTTCTTCAGTTTCTTCCCTTTCTTCCCACTCCCTTCCCTTCTTCCCTCCTGGATTCACTCATTACTAAACACCCTGGGACCAGAGTGCATTCCAGCTTGGCTGACCATCCCTTGGGCCCCCCTTTCTTCCTCTCCCAGATGGACATAAGAACAGGAGTCACCTGCAGGGCAAGCCCTGCACCTGAGCCATAGCTGCAAGACTCACTTCCTGCATGACCTTGGCTCTCAGCCTGTTGGTGGGAAGGCTGAGGGAGCTGGATGAGGAGTCTGTCCAGCTTTGAGTGTGCTGTGTCCTCTATCTTGGCCAACTTAGAGTCCTTGGCGCATCTCCGAGATGGATGAGGTGGGTGCACGTCCAGGCAGGCTACGCCCTGGGAGCCTTTAGATGACTTGATTTATTCTAGTGTTTACTATTGACACTTGTCCCTCAGCGGTGGATTCATGGGCTCGATGGGGAAATTCAGTGAGAGCAAAGGTCAAGAGCTTGGTACCGTTCCCGGCCCAGAGCTAGCGCTTAATAAACGTTAGCTATGCTTGTCCTGAAGCACCGCTATGTGCCAAGCTCCTGCCACGTGTGTGTGCATGTAAACACTCACAGCAAAGGTCAGTCGAGGCAACGTGGCCGCCTTGTCCCCACAGCTGGAAAGCCACCGTGAGCTCCTGCTGCACTCCTCCAGGGACCTTCAGTCCCGCAGAGCTGTATTCATGTTCTTCCCTTCTAAACACGGGGAGGAAGGAAGAGCTCCCGCATGCTCGAATGTTGGTTCAGCTTATTCCCAGACAAAAGGGATGATGTCTCGTATTCATAAAGCAGGAATGTTCTAGAACCTTCCTCCGAGAGCTCCCGCGAGAAGGGATCATATGCATTCGGCACAGGCTGAGTGAACGGCAGCTACAAATGTTGCAGTCCCTTTTAGGGGGCGGGAGAGAGGGTCAGACACTGTCACACCGAGAATATAGGTTTTGAAGGCAGGGAGAGCTGGACGCTGAGGCCCGACACCCCGATTGCCTCCCGGGAGGCCTGGAGCAGGTGGTTGACCTTCTCTGAGCCTCCGTCTCCCCATCTGCCCAGCGGGTTAATCACACGCCCAGCCTTACCGCCTGTGAGACACCGGTGCCCGGGCGAGTTGTGACGCTCCTGCCACTTCCAGCGAGGTTGGGTCGGCAGGTGGCTGGGAGAATTTTCCAGCAAGGTCACCTCGTTATTGTTTCGTTTATTCATTTATTAGGGGAAGCACAAATCCAGTTCGACTTATTGACTTTTCATTGGTTAAAATTCTGGGGCGGCGATAGCATCGCCCTGACTCTGTGTCCAGGGGCCTTAGCAGGAAGGTGGCTTTGGAATTTGGCACAGACTGACCTGCCGTTCCCTGGATGGCGGGGTCCTGTTCCGTGATCGGTGGCTTCCTATGCACACCTCGTGTCTTGCCTGTAAAAAACTCAGGCCATCTCGGGCACCAGGGCCTTCAGGGGTTTTGTTTGTTTTTGTTTTGGGTACCAGGGATGGAACTCAGGGGCACTCGACCACTGAGCCCCATCCCCAGCCCTAGTTTGTATTTTAGGGACAGGGTCTCACTGAGTTGCTTAGCGTCTCGCCTTTGCTGAGGCTGGCTTTGAACTCGCAGTCCTCCTGCCTCAGCCTCCAGAGCTGCTGGGATGACAGGCGCCCGATCACCTTCAGTTTTAACAAGACCCGTGCGTCCCCTTTGGTGCCAGAGACCCTGCCCAGAGCCAGCAAAAGTGTCATTGGCTGCAGTCTTCCAGACTTTTTTTTTAAAAAAATGTGTATTTATTCTAATGAGTTATATATGACAGCAGAATGCATTTCAATTCCTAGTCCACAAACAGAGCACAATTTTTCATGTCTCTCTTTTCATTCACAAAGTAGGCTCACACCATTCGTGGCTTCACACACGTACTTAGGGTCACGACGTCCATCTCGTTCCACCGTCTTTCCTACCCCCATGCCCCCTCCCTTCTCCTCCGTCCCCTGTGCCCTATCTAAAGTCCGTCCTCTCCTCCCATGGCCTCCTATCCTCATTATGAACCAGCATCCTTATATCAGAGAAGTCTTCCAGATCTTTGCCCTTAGAAGTCTGTCCCCAGTCACCTCCTCGGGCTCCAAGATGGCAGGAGAAGCCCAGATTACCTCTTTTTTTTTTCTTCGTTTTATTAGTTGTTCCAGATTACCTCTTAACCCTCTGTTGTTTGTTTGCCTTTTAAACTCTATCTGCCAGAGCCCAATTTTCTCTTGGAAGACCCTCTATAACGCACCTGGGTTGCCAGGGACCCCACAAGAGGGGTATTATTTTCTCCCCTTAGACACAGGAGGGCACTGAAGCTCAGAGAGGCTAAGCAACCTGCCTGAGCTCACCCAGCAATTTTTGATCTCGGGCCTCTCTGAGCTCAGATGGTGTGATCTGTACGGCCCCAGCTCAGGGTACAACCTGTGGGCCCCCCAACCCCTTCCCCCAATGGGGAACATAGAAAGAACTTGGGCCGGAACTCCACCCCAGGGTCTTGTGACAGTGAGAACCAAATGAGATCTATTTTTTTTAACGGATGCAATGCCTTCCTCCAAGTGCCTCTCAGGCAGTAGGCCACCCACTGCCACCAGGGCCCAGGCTCCTCCTCCACACCCCTCCTTCCCTCCCCTGGGCACTCACATGAACCTGAGCTCAGACTCCCGGCGGACGAGCACTTCCCGGAGACGCTGGATCTTGGCCATCTCCAGCTCGATCTCCTCGGGCATCATGGTCGTCTCCGCCATGGAGATGATGTCCAGCTGGGCTGTGCAGGACGGAAACACAGGCGTCAGGCCCGAGGCCACGCGGGCTTCCAAGAACTCCCAGGGACAGACCCTGCCGCAGCCCCCGGGACCATCGTGCACGGCTGGTTCACACAGACCTCGGCCCTCTGCAGACCTCAGCCATCTGCAGACCTCGCCATCTGCAGACCTCGCCATCTGCAGACCTCGCCATCTGCAGACCTCGGCCATCTGCAGACCTCGCCATCTGCAGACCTCGCCATCTGCAGACCTCGGCCATCTGCAGACCTCGCCATCTGCAGACCTCGGCCCTCGGCAGACCTCGCCATCTGCAGACCTCGGCCCTCTGCAGACCTCGACCTGGCCTGCAAACAGGAGTGGACCCTTTGGGAACAGGGAACCACGTTTTCCGTGATGCTAGGGTTTGGATGTGCTCTGTTCCCAACAAAACTCATGCTGGGGCTTGGTCCCCAGGGTAAGGCTGTTGAGCTTTTAGGAGGTGATTAGGTCTTTGTGCAGGAGGGACTAACGGCTGGGCTCTTGGTTAATGGGCATGGATCAGTGGCCTAGAGGGCGGCTCATTAGAAATCAAGTTCAGTTTCCTGGACTTGCCCCTTTCTTCTGCACGCACCCGCTTGTCCTTCTGCTTATTTCCCCCTTGCCCTGACACAGCAGGAGGCACTCCCACCAGGTGTGGCCGCCCAGTCTGGAACTTTCTGGCCTTCACATCCATGATTTAAAATGAACCTCTTTTCTTTATAAACTACCCACTCCCCGATATTCTGTCACAGCAACAGAAAACAGACCAAGACACGGGGGAACATTTGTTATGATGCCAGCAGAGGCTCACAAAGGCTTAAGGTGTGGTCAGTCCCGGCCTGGCCCCAACCTCTGAGGTGCAGGCACACTTGACTCTGGCCACTTTGCCCTGCCCCAGCCTCAAAGACCGAGGACAACTTGAGGAAGAAGAAAATTTCATACTAATTATCTTATGGTAATACCAAGTAACGTAAGTAGTAAGTAACATAAAGTAATAGCATGTCTGTTGTAGAAAATTCATGTAATACAGGCAGACAAGAAAGAACACAAAGAAGTCATCCATAACCCACTGCCCAGAGAGAACCACGGCTGACGTTTTGATGGACACTCTCCAATCTTATATAGTCAGAGTTACATAGGTTTCCGTGGAGAAGAACTGTATGTGAGGAACTGTATCACCATGTATAACCATACACATTACTACATATAGGGAAAGACACCACGCCCTGCTGTAACAAAACACTAGAGGCCCGATGGCTTAAATGATAGCAGTTTACTTTGGCACAGTTCTGGAAGGGGACACTCTTCCTGGCTTGTGTCCCCCCCCCTTTAAAAATAAAGGTCTAGCAATAGCTAAAAAAAAATTTTTTTTAAATATATATATTTTTTAAAATATATATACAAAAATAATGTACATATTGCATAAACAGCACTATATATATATGCATATTACATATACATACATTTTGCATAAAATTACCTTTAGACTCTATGTATAAAATATAGATGGGACATAAATAAATTTTGTTTAGACTTGAGTCCTCTTCCCCAAGATATCTCATTATGTATGTGCAAATGTTCCAAAATCTGAAATCGGAAACACTTCTGGTCCCCAGCATTTGGGAAAAAGTGATACTCAACCTGCATGTATAGTTTTACATAGGCAACATGTATAATTATATATATGTACATGCCTATTTTTTAAATACTGAAAAAAAATGTATACTAAAATGTTTGATTGAAAATGTTAACATTTGCATGTGTCTGTCTATGCACACACACACATCTCCATAGATCTGCCATCCCACAGCTTATTTTGGTCGCACGGAGTCTTGCTGGTTTCCTGCCCTCTTCTCACCAGCACACACTACAAGCGTGCGCTCTCTCTCTCTCTCTCTCTCTCTCTCTCTATTTCTCTCTCTCTCTCTCTCTCTCTCTCTCTCTCTCTGGCCTGTCCTTGGATGCTCTTGCTCAGCCGTCGTGGGCAAGGCTGGGTGGCTTTCTGCGTGGGGCCCCATCACG